ATATTCAAGATATGTCTTCCTATACCTGTTCTTTGAAAAAAGTCAGGCACTACATTTTCCTGCTTCATTTCTTTTGCTATATTGGGTAAATAGCAAGGATGGTAACAATGTGAAAGCAAAATTCTCTACAGAATCGTATCATCTGCAGTAATAAAAAATCTGATGCTATCTGATGAGATATTTTCATTTAAGGGTCTGGGATTTGATATAGTATTTCATCTAGAGGGTAAGGCATGTTGGTACACTTAGTAATTAGACATTCCTCTCAGATTTAGAATGTAGATTATTTTTATACATCTTGGCAGAAAAGAATATTTTCTTAAGGTTTTACTGGGGTATCATCAAGGTAGAATTGATCAGCACTGTAATTTCCTCAGGATCCTCATTGCAAAGTCCACATGTTATTGGTGACTTGATGATCTGAGAAGTTGGCAAAGCAGTTTATTAAAAATGAAAGTGAATTTGTCTTTTGTGGTGCCTTCTCAATTCATCCCAAACATGGAGTCCTCCTCCTCATTCATACTTTCCATACCCCAGTGGTCTTTTTTTTTGTGTGGTGGTGGGGACACCCACTACTTGTTCATTTTGATATCCTCTAACTGTGCTTCTACCATGCCTGTCCAAACTCCTGATTGCATTCCTTATCATCTCTGCAACTGTTTTGTAGTGCCTGGACCAAATAGATATTCCATTCCATAGTTCCATAAGTCTTGTTCTCAGTACTGCTGGACCTTTTAAAATAAGAGCAGGCTTTCAAATCTGGTTTTAAAGCCTTGGTTCAGGCACCTTTGTAAAAGGCCAGATGACCTTTCCAGCAACCAAGATGGCTGACTCAAAAAGCAGATATGGCAAGCTGTTCAGGCAAAAGGGACTATCTTGCAAGGAGAGTCAAAGTCTAGTTCTTTGAGAATAGGCAGATAGTTCCTCCTGGAGGAGGCAAGCAGTGGCAGCCAGCTTCTTGCTGTCCTACTTCCACCTTCATCCTTCTCTAGATTCCATATCATCTCACTGTAGCCCAGCAAGGTGCATCAAGCTCTCCAGAAGACTTATTGAATTTTTGCCTGGTGTTACCCCTTCCCTGGAAACCAGGGGGGATATTGGACTGTATGGACCCACAGACCTATTTGGGCTTAGGCTCTTCCCTCATCAAATTATATGAAGCTTCCTATAATTTGACCCTGAGCCACCACTCATGAAATACCATGCTAATTTATCTATTTGAGGGAAGTGAAATGGGAATTAGTCCCTTTTATCCCGAGTGCTGGACAATATAATTGTTCATCTAGTAAAGCATGAGACTCTTAATCTCAGGGTGGTGGGTTCAAGCCAAAAGATTCCTCCTTTGCAGGGAGCTGGACTCGATGACCCTCACGGTCCCTTCCTACAATTCTATGCTTCTATGACTATCTTTATGGAGGACAGAGCTGCAGATAGTGTGGTGGTGAGCTACCTGACTTCTGGTTAATCATGTTACTGTTGCTTACTAGGAACTTAAAAATGGAAAGTGTAATGCTGGTGGTCAGCAAAAGAAGTTCAAAGACTCTCTCAAGGCAAATCTAAAGAAATGTAGTATAAACACTGACAACTGGGAAACACGGGCCTGAGAGCACTCCAATTGGAGAACAGCCTTTACCAAAGGTGTCATGGGTTTTCAAGATGCTCAAACTCAGGACGAGATGGAAAAGCACACTAAGAGGAAGGCACACTTGGCAAATCCTCACCATGATCGATTCCTGCCCAGAAACCCCTGTCCCCACTGTGGACGGACGCATGGATCCAGAATTGGCCTCCACAGTCACTTGTGGACTCACTGTTAAAACCGTGTTTATGGAAGACAATCTTACTCGGCTACGAGTGATCACAGAAGAAGAAGAAGAAGAAGAAGAAGAAGAAGAAGAAGAAGAAGAAGAAGAAGCAGCAGCTTACTAGGAGGTAAAGGAGGAGGGAAGAGAAGGTGATAAGGTTAGAATGGTGCAAACACACTGGAAGGAGCACTAGATTGGCTCTACTGGTACATGTGCATTGCAATGACCTCTCCACTGCCTCCCTCTCCTGGTAAGAGGCAGCGATGCAACCCACTAGAGGTTGGATGAGTGGTGGCTCACCATCACACATTTCCAGTCAAGTAGATCCATGATGTTGAACACAGGCTGGAACAGCATAAGTAACAAAAGACTAGTACCCAATCGGACAGGGAATGTGCTTCCGGATGGCTGTTGATCATATATCTAGGCTGGGTGTTTGACGAGTTAAAAAGACTTAAACAACATACCGTACAGATATGGTCAAATACTAATCAAGCTTTCAGAGTGATAATTTAGTAGAACTTTAACAAAGAGTAAGCTTTATGCTAATTACAAACCCTCCTAATTAGTTACCTGCTATGAAGCAATTAAACAGTTCTGAATAACTGTAACATATTGTTTGTGACTGATATGCAAATCTAAATGCAAATGCAAGATAAGAACTGAACCAGAGTACCGGAGTGCCAGAAATGGCCTAAATGCAAGAAAGGTAAATTAAACCAAGCAATTATAAATATGTGTTTATAGTCATGGTAAATAGACAGTGGCAATCCTTATTTTCGACACTTTTGAGCTGTACCTCACTGAAGGAGGAAATAATGGAGAAATCATCACTAGGAATGCTTCCTATGGTGGTAGCAGGCATAGGACATATAAACATGGCTTTAAAGGGGCAGGCGGAAACCAAGCCAGCCCTGGATCTAAAGATGCTCCTTCCCTCTGGGAAGGGCCAGATCTGTGCCCCTCTCCTGAGCCAGCCTGGAGTTGGAAGAGCAAACAATAACAGCAGCCGTCCTTCTCCCACCTTCCTCTCTGACTAGCAGGGCTTTGAATGTCAATTAATTATATCTACACATTCTTCACTAATCCAGAGGTGTGCCAAAGCAATTTGCAATAATAAAATATAAAATATGGAACACACTCAATAAAATACAAACATATTGCGATGGAAGATCCTCTACTCTGCATCCACGGTTGAGATAGCTCTGGCCAACAGCTTAAATCAGGGCACTCTGATATTGACAGGGTGGTAAATGTGTATGAAAGCTACACAAAATAGCATGTTATGACAGCTTTGGCCAACCTAGAGCTGATGAGAATTGTAGTCCAAAACATATGGAGGGCACCTGGTTGGCAAATGCTGTGCTAGGACATCGGGTTAATTCTTTAAAAGGTGGTGAGTCAGATGAAGTTCTGTTTTTGTGTTTGTGTGTTTGTTTTTTACTGATAAGAAAATACTAAGACCTTGCAAGAAAATGTAAAACTGGAACATGAAAATAACTTTTTTTTCCAATTAAACAATATTTTGGAAGAGGGGGGGGTATTGCATCTGAGTATCAGTAGTCACTAGATGCCGATGCCATCATTCTCATTCTCAGTCCCAGTCCGGCTGAACCTGCAACCTCTTGAGAAAATAGCTTCCAGAACTGCACGCTGCAATGTCTAAAACTGTAGCCCCCTCAAAGCTCCCAAAGGCTGGAACAAAATCACTTTGTAGATGGCGAATGAGGATTAATATTGCAAGGTTCAGTAGCAGTAGGCCTTGTAAATGATAATTGATTCTTTTCTGGAAACAAGTCATTTCCCAGAAGACCGTGAGAAAAGGACTACATGAGGAAACAGGGAGCCACCCATTCCGTAACCTTTGCAGCATGTGTTCATCTTCAGAGACAGGTCCCTTGTTCCACTGGGGTATCTATAAATTACACGCAGGAGTCCGTGTAGACGTGTATGGAGACATATGGAGACCTTGTGTTCCGAATCACTCTTCCCCCCTCCCCCTTGTAATTTACAGTGATTCCCTTGTTGCTGTCTTGTCTGGCCATTAAATTACCAGGGGGAGTATTCTCTTGATTTATTTGTTATGAAACCTGGATATAAGCTTATTGGAAGCCATTTGGTAAGGAGGGCCACATTCATTTGAAAGAGTGAAGTGAGGTTATTCTAAAGAGCTTAACACTTCCAGTCGCAAATGCATTTGCCCCCATGCCAAGGAAGGGTGCACACCCCCCCCACCCCACAGATCATCTCTGCTGAATGGGGAGTGAGGGGAACCCCCCAAATCGGCTGCATTCATATATCATGAAAAACTATGGAGAGAAAAGAACCTAGCCTTACTCTGGACTCCAACATGGCCACAAGGAGTTTGGAAGCTCTTACCTACAACTTCACATAAGCTGTGCTCACACCCCCTAGTACTCACTGCATTTCCAATGCAGGGTTCTTAATTTGTTTTCACGGGATGTTCTCCAAAATACAACCCCAAAATCATTTGCTCAGGAGTTTGCTGCATTGGAGTCAATGGGACTTCTGTCTTAGGCATGTACAGAATTGCACTATACACGTCATTTAACAGCACAACCTATGTGTGTCTATTAGAAGTAAGTCTCACTGTGTTCAATAAGAATAACTTCCAGGTATCCTACTCCCGTATAGGGTTGCAGTCTTAATGGATCAGTCTAACCAATGCATGGATTGAATTTGTAGTTAATAGCCACAGTAGCGGAAGTATTCCTGTTATGCAAAAGAAAAAGTGGAGGATGAGACTGATTCAATTCAAAGTCTGTTGAATTTATAGTCATTGCTGTATCTGCAACCTGTGGACCACTGTAATGAAGCATGCACCATTGCCTTTAACGTCCCTAAAAAAAATTCTTTAAAAAATAAGCAACTGGGAGGAATTAGGATCCGGGCCTGGAATCATAGTGAGGATGTTTAATATTTTCCCCACCATGCTCAGGTCTGGACAAAAATCACCCTTTCCTGACAGTTGCTTTTTGCCATGTGACAGATGACAATTTAAGCGTGTGTGCGCGCACACACACACACGAAACACATTAATCCTATCACACATTTAACGTAGGGTGTAGTACAGCCCTTATAAATGTGTTGAAAGTGGTCATAAAGGAATGAGACACTAGATGTCATTTGATTACTTCTGACAGCATTTATTATATACTTAGGACTCTGACGTACCTGTTACATTCAGTTCCACATGAATGCAGAAAGCATGGCTGTCGCTTGCAATCAGAAAGAAGTAGTTTCAGGTTTTTCAATTAATTTCAGGCTTTATTTTCAAACTACCTTTTGCCCCAGTCCATTCAGCTCACTGACTGCTTACATAGATTAAAAGGAAGGCAAAAGAAAGTCTGTGAAAACATAAATATGTTGCAATGAAAAGTAAGAATCTCCAACAGAAACCCACAAAGAACATAAACACTTGATGTTGATTCTTTTATTACATCTGTATATTATTATTATATTATATTATATTATATTAATATATTAGTAGGACTAGGAGTAGCGAGAAGAAGTGGAAAACACACCCAGCAACCCTACATTTGGGGATTTGCAGCCAAGCACATCAATTAGTCATTACTGACATAAATTTCCCTTTCTTGGGGACGTTCAAACTTCTCATATCCCGCGGATGAACTCTGAAGCACCTGCAGTAGATTTCTTTTCAGTAAAGAGATTATAACTACCGTAGATGTTTTTCCAACAAAAATATAATGTTGACAGAATAATGTGTGGAAGAGAAGGGGCTACTTATGTGACTGCTATAAATCGCTTGGCCTCTGCTCCCCCTTGCGAAATGCCCCACACTACAGGATGCTCATTTGTCATAAGCTCCCCATATGGGCTGGAGAGAATGCCCTTCCCTCCCAAACATGATGAAAACTAGGCATGCAGTATTGTGGTAGAGGATCGTATTTTTTTTGCCTTTCCTCCCACGATGAATGCTAATCTGCTAGAGGTAGCTTGGAACTGAAGCGGAGGGCGGCGTCCGATGCAATGCTTTCCAGTAGGAAAGCATTAGTGCTTCAGACATTACCCAGGAGATTAGAAAGCACCATGTGGGAATCATTTCCAAGAAGCATTTAAAGACGGGTTCACAATGTCACGTATGCTGTATACGGGGGCAGTGTACTGGAGAAAGCACACCCTCCCCTATAGAAAGTGTGCAGTCTGAATCTGAGCCAGTTATTAGAGAGTGGGACTGATGCAAATTTTCTCTTGGGGCAATGTAGCTAGCCTATCACAGAGGTGCTCCACCTCTTCCTCACCACCAATCTCACTGCTGCTCATTCACTAGTCCTCTCCCTCTGAGCCCAGCTTTCAAAAGCACCCAGAGGGCAGAGCAAGTGGGGGGAAACTGTTCCCTCTTGTCACTCTTGATATCGCTTACATGCTGGGGGGGGGAGGCAGTTGAGGAAGCTGTGACAGCAAGGAGGAACAATGCTGGGAGGTTCCAGGCCTTGGCAGTGGGGCACTCTGGAGGGGTATGGGCTGTGTGGATGTCTGAGGTTACTAACTTCTGAGACAGTTCTGACTCAGTGCATGTGCTGGGTGTGAGCAAAGGAAAGGCGCTTAACAGGGTGTAGTAAGCCTCCCGTTGCTCTGTCCCAGCTCCTGCCAACCTAGCAGTTTGAAAGCATGCCAGTGCAAGTAGATAAATAGGTACTGCTCTAGCAGGAAGGTAAACAGCATTTCCGTGCGCTTTGGCACTCGTCACAGTCCTCCGTGTGCTAAGAGGACCCGTGGACCCGGAAAGCTGTCTGTGAACAAATGCCAGCTCCCTTGGCCTGAAAGCGAGATGAGCGCCGCAACCCCATAGTCGCCTTTGACTGGACTTTACCGTCCAGGGGTCCTTTACCTTCCCTCCCCTTGCATAGGGATGGATGGACCTGTCCATTTTGGTTCTCTCACTGTCTCATTTTCCCAATCTTAAATTCATTTCTCCATTCCAGCAATTTGCCTTTTAAAAAAAGTCATAGGTATTGTACTGCAAATTTCTCCTAATAAACACATTTTTACATTCAGTTTGAGGGACACGGGTGGCGCTGTGAGCCTAGGACTTGCCGATCAGAAGGTCGGCGGTTCGAATCCCCGCGAAGCAGTGAGCTCCCATTGCTCTGTCCCAGCTCCTGCCAACCTAGCAGTTTGAAAGCACATCAAAGTGCAGGTAGATAAATAGGTACCGCTCCAGCAGGAAGGTAAACGGCGTTTCCGTGCGCTGCTCTGGTTCGCCAGAAGTGGCTTAGTGACCCTGAAGCTGTATGCCGGCTCCCTCGGCCAATAAAGCAAGATGAGCGCCGCAACCCCAGAGTCGGCCACGACTAGACCGAATGGTCGGGGGTTCCTTTACCTTTGCCTTTACCTTCAGTTTAGACAAATGTACACATTTTTGCCAGTAATTTCCCCAGATTATTTGTATATTATTTTCACTAATATACATGTTTTGATGCATTTTCACCTAATATGTGCATTCATGTAAACATTGATTGGCCGGAGAAGTGCACTGCAAAATTCAGATAAGTGTGAAATTTGAACAGCTGTGTTTTGGCTTGCGTATTGTTTCAGAAAGAATTTGACAAGACTTGCCTTTAAATGGGAGCTGAATCAGATTTCTACCCCATCCCTACTTGTGAAGCCCTTCAGAGTGTTGATTTGATATGGATTAAAGATGGATTGTGTTGTCCATCTCCCTGCTTCGTCCTGAAAAATAGACCTTCCCCTTGCCATGTCAAAGCAAAGGGGGATGTGTGTGTATCTTTAAGCAATTGCTGATATCCTCAGCAGAGGGAGATCTGTTTGGTGTGGAATCTACTTCGTTCTGCATCTTTCCTCCAATGCACATCTTAAGCCTAGCTCTGTCAACCAGGTGCTGGAATATTTTAAACACTGTGCATTTTACTGTTTTTTAATAATTGCAATGTTTTAATGCTAAAATCATGAGCTGCTTTGAAATTATATATAAGGCTGGATATAAATATTGGCGATGCAAATATAAATGCAGCCCTGCTGTCAATGCTGTGAAAATCTCCTGCTTCCCAGCACTTACAATTCAGCAGCAGACACACAAGTTGATGCAGCGGTGGTGGTCCTCTTCTTTTGGGAGGCAAATTAACATCTCTAAAAATGCTCTCTGGCATGTGTTTAAGTGGGCCTGTTTATGCAATCATTTATTCTGCGAGGACAACCCCCAGATTCACTTCAGCCTCTGATTAGTTTAAAGAGAAACTCTGATGTATTCAGAGGTAAATTGAAGCCTGAAGTGTCTTGAAAAAGAGCCAACACTCCCCAGCAAAGTCAGTACTGTAACTGTGAATTTAGTTCCTTTTCCTCCTGTGATAAATAAATGTGTGTTGGGTGATTATCTTCTGGATCAGATTGGGAAATGTTTTTTTCCCCATCCTGAGGACCACATGCCAGTGGCAGACAGTGCCAGATGCAGAACGTTCAGAGATTCACCTTGATCTAATCATATACCGTATTTTTCGCTCTATAAGATGCACCAGATCACAAGACGCACCTAGTTTTTGGAGGAGGTAAACAAGAAAAAAAATATTCTGAATCTCAGAAGCCAGTGAAAGCAGCAATCCCTCTTGCTGTTCTGGCTTCTGGGATAGCTGCGCAGCCTGGATTCGCTCCATAAGATGCACACACATTTCCCCTTACTTTTTAGTAAGTAGCGGGGAGCTTCTGGGCCGCACAGCAAATGTGGCCCACCAGGCCTTTATCAGGACACGATGCCCATTTGCCCCACACCTGATCAGGGGTGGCATGGGTAAGGGTGGGACTTCAAAGGAACAATCAGGAGCTTCCTTGGATCCAGAAAGGTGAGTTCCCACCCGCTGATGGGTGGATGGGAGCCTGCTTTCACCCTACGCAGCATTTCTTCTTCAAACCACTGCGAGATGGTTGGAATGTTGGAAGGCAGACGCCCAATTTCAGATCATGCCTGCAACTGCAGAGGTTCAAAGGAGAAGTGCAGAGGAGGGGGCATTTAAAGGTGTGTCCCCATCCTCCCCTCAGCTGATGGGGAGATTAGAAGACACTTTCCAGGAGTGCCAACTTGAATAAAAAAATGGGGGGGGCCAGGTAAGCCCCGCATAATCAATCACAAAATGTGGTGCACACACATCATTTGAATGCCAATGCCCATCAACTTTGGGGGCCCCAGACCCTCAAAAATTTTATGGGGGGCAAAGGGAGCTCAGCCCCTAGAAGTTGGCTCCTATGATTCAATCGCAGACCCGCCAAGTGTCCCTATTTTCCAGGGGCGGTCCCTGATTTAGAGAAGCCGTCCGGGTTTCTAATTTGATCCCAGAATGTCCTGCTTTCCCTTAGGACACCCCTATTTTCATTGGAGAAATGTTGGAGGGTATGGAGTTATCTGACCCCTGAGCCATCTGAAGGCAGCCCTGTATAGGGAAGTTTTAAAATGCTTAATTATGTTTTCATATTTGCTGGAAGCTGCCCAGAGTGGCTGGGTCAGCCCAGTCAGATGGGTGGGGTATAAATAGTAAAATTATTGTTATGGAATGGGACGTTCCTGTTTGTTATGTACTGAAGTTCTCACCCTGGGCCAGCAGGGGGATACTGTAGATAGTTATGCAAATGAAGGATCAAAAGTGACGTTCAGTGATTGGATAGTTTGTATGCAAATGAAGGATTGAAAGTGACGTTCAGTGATTGGCTAGTTACAGAAAATGGCTACTGTTGCATTCTAGTGGAGCTCTATATAAGCAGGCTGACTGAGCTCCTCAGTTCAGTTCTGTTCCAGCTTACAAATAAAGAGCTGCTTTGGAAGAATCGCTGTGTCGTCTGATATGTTTGCCCACAACTTAACACTGTTTTTATCAGAGAAATGTTGGAGGGTATGCAATCGCTCCCTTGCTGGGTAGTAAACCCCATTGAATTCAACAGGGATTACCTCTGAATAAACATGGATTGAATTGTATGGCAGGTTTTCTTTGTGTCTTCTCTGAATTAAAGAATAAAAAACCACTGTCATTTCATAACATAAATAACTACCAGATTTGAAGGCAGCTGAGTTATCCTTGTATGGTTACTAGTTACTGGGAAATCCAAAGATATATTGTTCTCCTGAATGGTTTTCTATGGGCCATGCCAGAGTCTGAGCTTCCTGTGAGTTTAGCTTCTGGGTCTGTAATCTTTGGCCTACTTTTTGCTCTGGAGAAGCTGAAAAACAAACATGGCTTTGGTTCAAGTCAGTGGCGAAGCTTCAGGACCAGTGTTGCAAGGCCAGCTGGGATGCATAGATTTAGGTCCTCCTGGCAGGAGGTGAATCTCTTTTGTAAATGAAAATCTATGAATTTTTAGCTGCACAACTGATACGTGT